AGCATCCCCGCAGCATCCCCGCATCCCTCCCCGCCCGCCCGTGCCCTGCCGCCCGCTCCCCTTGATTCCGGGAGGGGGGCTGCCCTTGTTCGGCTGCAGCTGCTTCCCCCTCGCGTCACTTCAGCTCGCTGTCTTTTTTTTTTTCTCTCTCGTCTGGGATAAAAATAATTGAAACCATGTGATGATACTCGGTTTGCTGATGTGGCCGAAAATGTCCCAGGGTAATGTGTCTTTTGCTTGGCAGCTGCTTTGGGTAGGACTACCTATTATTCTGCCCTATTGCTGTGCAAACAAAGGCAGCTTTTTCCTCTGCCTGCGTTGTGAGTCGCTCCAGATGGCTTGACCGAAAGTTACTTCTTATTGTCTGCCAGGCTGGTTCCTGTGTGAAAAGGAGGGACTTGCTCCCTTGTTTCAAAGGGCAGCAGCTTGAAGGGGTGGAAAGAACTATTGTTTATGCCACGTCTAGGAGCCTTTCTAGCAAGGAATTTTAATTAGAGAATGGTCTGGAGGAAAATATTTGTCTCCTTGCTTGAGCTGTTTTTGAATTAGTTGTAAAAGTGCATTTGCTCATGGAGTGCCTCTGCAAGATGGCTATGGGAATCTGCTGCACTTCTGTTTGTGTAACTTTGCTCATTTTAGGGAGTTTATTGTACTTTAGCCAAAGCAGTTGACTTTTTGCTGAGGAAAAATTAGCTGTTTTACCTGTGGTACCAAAACCTCCCCAGGGGGTCCTTTTGAATTGGACACTCAAAACTGTCACACCTGAAATGCAGCCTTGGCCTTTTGGTTAAGGAATCATCAAATCCACGTGAGCACATGTACCCAGCAAAAGCTGTTATGTGACATTGTTTTTAATTCGTGTTTCCTTACACGAGTCTCCTCTCTGTCACCCTGAACCTGTGCAGCCAGATTGAGTGGCACCAGGGTGCACACAAAGGCAGTAGTCAGGAAATGAAAAGTACACTTGAAGCAGTCACTCTGGACACACATACTGCATCCCCAGGCTTTAGCTGTTCTCACAGCTGTCTTCCAACATATCAATGTGTCATGTGTTTTCAGGCAGCTAAAAATAGAGGCTCCTTGTCTATGTGACACATAGTCGCCGTTGTTCAGCATCAAGAATTCTTGCCCAGATGTTGGCACATCTGAAGCATGCACAGCCCTACAGATGAACACAAAGGGTCAGGTTTGTCTCCCAGTGTAAGGCCAGGGAAGTTGGTTGTGCTTCCCTTGGGTGGATTTGGGTTGGATTGTTCCAGTACACCGTTGCTTTCTGCATTGTTTCTGCCTGGCTTTCCCAGCTGTCCTAGGCTTTGGGTGACAAAACCCATACACAGTGAGCAAAACTGGCAGATGGTCTTTGACTGACTGTTATTGTCTCTGAAAACATGGCAGTTGGGCCACAGCATCTGAAGTTGTTTCTGAGATGCAGCTGATGAGCAGTTACAAGTAGGTGTCCCAGCAGCTCTACTTGTCCTTTTTAGTGCATGTTGCTGTTCTGGGCAGTGCAGCAAGAACATTCAAGTTAATGTCACCTGATATTTCAGGAGCAGTCAAGAAATTGGATCAAATGCTAGAAAAGATTTAAAAAGGGATAGAGAACCAGCTGTAAGATGTTACCATGACACTATATAAAACTGTGGATTGCCCTCCTGCTCAATTTGGAATTGAGATCTAGGCCCTTCCTCTCCATAAAGGTGTAGTAGGACTGGAGAAAGTTCAGAGAAGGCCAGTTAGGGTGTTGAGAAGTGGATTAACTTTCATACAGTGAACAAGGGAGTAGGCTGGGACTTGAGAGCTTGAAAAGACAAGTTGGGAATATGACAGGTCTATACAGTTGAGTGGCTCAGAAAAAACAGATGGGGTTTGAACGTTTGTTGTCTCTTCCAGTGCAAAAAGCATGATAACAAATGGGGCTAACCATAGCTAATTTAATGAGAGGGGAGAGGAAGTTCTTTCCAGTGATGTGTTGAATGTTAAATATTTGTGGATGCTCTAGCAGTTTCCCATGAGATAAATTGATGGAGGGTTATGATAAGACAAGTTCCCTGAACAGAAAATAAATGGAACATGGAAAGTTACTTGGGGGAAGTATCCTACATTCTTTCCCTTGCCTTATTATTTTCCTAACATCCACTTTCTGTCACCATCACAGAGGTTACTGAGATAAGCAGATTTCTAGTCTGTATGGACACACCTCTGCTAATGTTCCTGCATCTCCAGACAGGGAGTCTGAGAGCAGTGCTTGAGTGTAGCGTGAAGCTTCATGGAGATGCATTGTTTTTTCTTTTGTGGTGAGCTTGGCCATGCCTCTGAGCATGGTGACATTAATGCAGTGAGTGTCTCAGGCTGAGCATGTGGTGTTTTTGTTTATGACATATTGCAGGTATGTATTTATGCCAGACAAATGAATCTGGAGGTACCAGTCATCCTGGCCAGCTGTGCATTGTCACCTTGAGCCTGGTATCAGGCCAGCTGGGCAGGAGAAGGCTCCTTGCTGTGGCTGGCTGTGTGTACAGCTCATGCTATGACCAGACTCCAGGCTGCAGCTGAGCTTGTTTTCAGGGGTTTTCTGGGAATGCTGTTGACAGCTGGGCAGGGAGGTGCTTGGGGCAGGGACAAGTGATACTGATCTAGGAGGTTAAACTGGCTGCCTGGTGTAAATCAGTGGAGGCTTGCTAACCTTGGTGGAATTGTGCCAGATGACACTGCTGGGGCCTGCAGCTCATCCCATGAGCTGGACTCTCTTTGTTTTGTGCCTTACTCCCCCTTCTGACTCGATGCACCCCACCCAGCATGAGGGGGCTCCACTGGAATGTGAGCTATTGTGCAACCTGGGGGAGAACTGGCTTCCACATGAGAGGGCAGGAAACATCCACTGCGCTGGAGGAGAAAACGTCAGTATAAAGAGCTCGGGAAGGGCAATTTCCTTGTGCATACACAGAAAAAACTTTGCTCTGTGTTATCCCATTGTGTCAGGAGGAAATGTGCTTTCCCTGGTCTTCACTGTTGATGTTGTGTTCAAGAGGATTTTCCTCTGATCAAAAACAAATGTGTGATTTGAAGGAGAGTGGCAAGATCTCCTTTCAGTAATCCCATTCCTCTTCTCCCACCTCACCCTCCAGTTGCTGAGCATGAAGAGCTGGAGCGACATGAGGCAAGAGGTGATGTTCCTGACCAATGTGAATGCCTCAAACTCCTCTACGCAGATCTACCAGGCTGTGTCACGCATCGTGTGTGGCCATCCCGAAGGTGGAGGTCTCAAAATTAAATCCCTCAACTGGTATGAGGATAACAATTACAAGGCACTATTTGGAGGCAACAGCACTGAAGACGATGTAACTAACTTCTATGATAACTCCACTAGTAAGTGTAACCTTTGCATGGTTTAAGGTCCCATCTGTTTCATGGCTGTCATTGCTAGTTTGCTAAATGTCCACTGGCTAAAGCAGGTGGTCCTTCCACTGCCTGAGAAAGGCATGACCATACCAGGTCCTGCATGTGCCCTTAAGGCTGGACAGGGTATTGACATGGAACAGATTCCCCTGGGCCTTGTGTGGAGTCCACAGAAGGCTGTGCAGTGGATCTCCTTCAGGGGAAGAGGGAGCATGGTGATGCCTTTGGAAGTCTGTCTTTTTCTGGGCAGATTTTGCTTGTGCCGTGCAGTGGGGCTGCGGTGCAGACCTTGCAGTGTGGCTCTTAGTGCTGGAAGATACCTGGGTGCTCCAAGTTTACTGAGCAGACTGTGGAGGCTTGGACTGAAAGGGGCTTTTATCAAGCTTAGTAGTAGGGGAGGGTTTGTTTTTTTTTTGGTCTGAGAAATGCTGTGCTTTCAGCTGTGACTGTCCTTAAAACCCAAACAAGTGGGGCATATGCTTTCTGCAGTTGTCACTGTGCTTTTCAGCCACTGACCTTTGTCTCCTCCTCAGCACCCTACTGCAATGAGCTGATGAAGAACCTGGAATCCAGCCCGCTTTCCAGGATTATCTGGAGGGCTTTGAAACCCTTACTGATTGGGAAGATCTTGTACACTCCAGACACACCAGCAATAAGGAAGGTCATGGCTGAGGTAACTCTAGCCCTATACTGTGATACGTAGAATGATGTATGTCCTTTGGCTGTGCAGCTTAGCTGCCCTGTGTTAAATTGAGCCCAGAAAGGATTGCCTGCAAAGCACAGCCTCCTTAGTCTCTCACCTCCCATGCACTTGCTGTTGAAGGCCTAAGGAGAAAAGGCCAGGCTGAACTCTTTTTCTAGACTTGGCTGGAAGCTTTCCCAGTGGTGCCTTTTGACTATTCACAGGCTTTGCATCTCTCATGTGTAATATGGGAGTGGGGAAAACCTTGATAAGCCTTCAGGTGTACTTCCTTTCATCCAATGCAGGCTGGTCAGTAGACACTTGAAAATTCCTGATTGTGGTTTACCTAATATGCTCCCTAATTCCCCAAGCTCCCTCAGCAAGATGACTCTTCCCCCCATCCTGGGTGGACGTTTGCACTTGGTGATCTTGCAGTCTTTTCCAAGTGTGACAATTCCGTGATTCTGGCATACAGGACGGGGACATGTTGCCCTTCATGTCCAAGGTGGTCATTCTCCACCAAACCTTGAAAGCCAATGTTCAGTGACAGGCATCCACACTGCCTGTTTTCCTTCCAAGTTCACTTGATTTACCCTATTCTTGTCCTTGCAGAAACTGAGCTGCTGTTTGAACATAATCAACAGTCAGTACCTCACTGGACAGGTCAATGCACCCTCTCGGCCTGCAGTGGATCTCTGCCAGATTTTGGAAATAACCTTCCTCTCCTCTTTGCTGGGCAGGTGAACAGGACATTCCAGGAGCTGGGTGTGTTTCGTGACCTCGGAGGGATGTGGGAGGAGATAAGCCCGAAGATTTGGACGTTTATGGAAAGCAGTCAGGAAATGGATCTCGTTCGGGTCAGTATGCTGTCCTTGCCAGAACCACCACTGTCATCTTCTGCAGTAGGTGATGAAATACTTCTTTTAGGTGGTGCTTCACTTCTGAACCTGGCAGATAAACATTATGGATGGGACAGCTTCTTGAAACATGTTGTGATTGTACCCATCTCACTTCATGCTTGGCATTCTGTCCTTAATGTAACAACCTGCTGCAAACAGGAGCTGTGTGTTTGTAACACCCATTTCTAATCTGCCTCTGTGGGGAAATGGGCTGTTTCTTCCACAGTGTTGCCCTAATGTGGCATGAATATCTGGGTTGGGGATTTTCTGTAAACTGGGGACCTGTAGGGTTAGTGACACGTTCAGCATCCTGTGCTGTGCACTTCTCCACAACAGTACTCTCCTGATAGCAGCAAAGTGAGCGGTAATACACCTAAATCAGATCCTGGAAGGTGCCAGGTGGCCTCGGATCTCTTTTGAGTACAGTAGGAATTGAATGGTTATCAAGCTAGAGCTTAACCTGGAGGCCTGGCAGTAATCTGGCACAAGTCCTGTAAAACCTTAATTTGGAGTTGCATGGTAAGCTGAATTTAGTAATACTTGGGTGCTCTTGGGCGAAGAGCAAACATCACCCTACGACTGATTGCTTCTTAACATGCCATGCATACTAGACCATGAAGAACAGGCTGGGAGTCTTGTTTGGATTTGACATGATTTTTGCTGGCCTGTTTGCTGCCTGGAGCATTGTGCTAGGTGTTAGACCTGGATTACTGAGGCATTATCTGCTTAAGTGGCTTAGTTCACTGCTGCTTCCCTCAGGTGCAACTCTGAGGGGTGGATCTTTGCATCCTGTGTTTGTCTTGGAAACACAGGCATTGAGCAACAGAGGAGGAGTTGAAGAGTATGTCTTCCTACTGTCTCTGCAAGGTGGCTGGTTGGGTGTCATAGTGCAGCTGTTACACAGAGACTTCCTGGGTCTTACAGGGCTTGAAATTCACTCCTTCTTTACCCCAGGGCTGTGTTGAATGGTCTGTGACCTGCACTGTTGCACTTCCAATCAGCATGACACACCAGAGGGTCAGAGACCTAATTTTAATCACTCCTTTGCCTCTCTTGGCTTTATGAAAGTTAATTTTGTAGATGTTGGCATCAGGGAAGTGAGAACTGGAGCCACCAACTGGAAATTGAACCATTTGCTGCAGAGAGTGCAGACAGAAAGTCACAGTTTGGATATTTGTTTGCAGTTGTGTCATTTGAAAAGCGTATGTTACTGCATTATTATTATTATTTTTATTTTTAATAAGCCTCGGGCTTTTCTGGTTTTGTATTTTCTATTTCATCCTTCTAGTTAACACTGCCAATTCTTATAGTTAATTCTTGATCTTCCCAGAGTCTCCTCCTCTGCATTGGTGCAGTAGCAGGGGTTCATTAGTTGTCACCTGTTGGAGATCACCCAAGTAGGAGTGTTTTGCTGTTGATGCCTGGGCAGCTCCCAGGCAGCATTCCATTTAGTTTGAAGGTGTAGCACAAATCACTTGTGGATGAATAAGCTAGAACATAGGTGGCAGTTCGTGGCTGCTTTCAGGGGGGAGGTTGGTCCATTGCTGTTTGTTAGCCACCATGGCTTCCGTGCTGCTGGGTGACTGGTCACCACATCCCAGCTCTCCTGAGTTGTGTGGTCTGTTTGGCATATTGCTTCCTACCTTCAGGGAGTACAACATGTGCCCCTGGAGTTAATGAGCTTTAGTGTTGCTGCTGAACATGATGAAGCTGAGCCCCTTCCCTGGAGGCATGGTGCCCTGCCTATTGGGGAACATGGCATGAGCCAACATTAGGAAACCAAATGTGAAGCGAGTGCAGCACAGCTGATCTCTGTTTGCTTGGAATTCCCTTTCTCATGCTCTCTTTTGCCAGTTTGGCCTGCACTGTTTTCCTAGTTGTGATGCTGTTTTTGTAACAGGAATCCATTACTTTCTAGTTTGCTGGTAACAGCAGAGCATGGGGAAGCTCCTCACCTCTCAACTTCATTCTTTGTTCTGGCAGAAAATGCATTTCCTGTTTTTACTGGTCAGGACTTCTCTCCTGTGCAGGGTTGTTTTTCTGTCTCTTCTTCAGTTCAAAAATTAATGCTCCCCTGCTGCCCTTATACCGTCTCTCTGGAGGAGTGTTTCCTGCTTCATTGTCAGGTGCTTCTACCTGGACTGCACTTGTGTAGGTGTTCTGCACACACATAGTGGGGCAACAGTCTGTTTTCAGAAAGCTAGCAGTTAAACCTGGTGAAAAAAGCATTGTGCCAAAAAGAAGAACAGAGAGGCACGATATCATGGCTTGTACGGAGCTGCTTCAGCCAGCTGTGATGGGGCAATAGCAAAATATGTGAGAAAAGCCACCCAGCTTCTGGCGCTGGTATTTCTGCTCAGCACCGTGGCTGTTCAGCTTCCAGCCATGCCACAGCCCCTCTTTATTCCATCGGGGAACAGAGGTTTGTTCAGCAGAGGTGAGCAGATCTTGGCAACCACCATCAGCCTCTCTCTTGAAAACGCCTCTGCCCCTTCCCTGTTTTGCTGGTGGAAAACTGCTTTGCGTGTGTGCGTGGTGCAGAGCTGTGCATGGCTCTCTGCGTGGCTCTCTGCTGCCCTCTCCTTGGGAGATGGGTGGCAGGACGTGGAAGGAGCCAGACAAGCCTGCCAACAGCATCTCATGGTGTAGCTGTACCGAGGGAGGCACAGCCACAGAGGAAAGGCTCCCACCGCGCTGATGTTCTCAGGAGGGTAGAGGGCCTCTCCCTGCGTCCTTTTCCTGGTACTGCATGATTTCTTTATGAGAAACGAGATCTGGCATTAATCCTCAACAACTGTTTCTCCTTTGAAAACAAAATACCCACAGACGCTGCTGAAAGGCAAAGCCCTCTGGGACCTGCACTTGCCATCTTCCAACTGGACCATGGAGGACATTGCTCGATTCCTTTCAAACCATCCAGAGGACTTTGAGACAGAAAATGGCTCAGTATATACCTGGGTGGATGCCTTCAATGAGACAGATCGGGCTGTCCAGACCATCTCCCGTTTCATGGAGGTGAGATCCTGCTGGTGTGGGCAGGGAGCTGTGGGGAGGGCTGCAGCTTGGTCTTCACTCACATGGCGGGGTGTTCCTGGAATAGGAATTAGATTAAAGTTCCTCAGTACACTTTCTGTAAATGAAGAGGCTTCAGTAGGGCTGAGTGCAAGGCATGTTAGAAAATACCATTTATTCAGGTCCATAAATAGGGGTGTAGGAAGCTAACTGTAGGCCTTGTTCTTGAAGCTTTCACATTGCCCATGGCGTGTGGTTTCCCACCCTGTTGTTACTGGGAGACTGAGAGCTCCTGCTTGCTGCAGCAGTGTTAACAGCTCAAATTTCCATCTGGGGTTTTAGCTGGGGACTACCATGAAGCTAGCAGCTGCTTTAAGCTGAGGACAACATAGACAGTATGGAAATTTGTTCTACTTAGCAGATGTCATCTTGGCAGATGGGTCCAAACAGAAACAGACCTTGGTCTGTCAGGGGCCTGATCCAAAGCCTTCTGGTCTCTCAGTTGATTTCAGAGGCCTTGAATCAGACCTAGTTTATTGGTAACAGATAAGTTTAGACTATCTATGGAAATTTATGCTTGAATGGGATCCTGTAGCTAGTATCACAATGCTATCTAACCTCTTGTCCTGAGAAAACCTTTGCTGGGGTGATATATGTGATATGTCAATTATAGATGTTTAACTGGCAGGTAACCATCAAGTGGGGAAAATGGGACATCTCTAGCACCTTGCTGGGCTACCACGAGGCATTGCAAAGTAGTCCAGCACTGCAGCCTTTGCTTGGGCATGGGTTTACCATTTGCAGAATTTTCTCTTTCTCTCCCTCCCAAATATAAAGAAAGTATGTTCTGGTTGGTAACTGATCCCATAAACGCTTCCAAATCTGTGCTGTGCAGTGTGTCAACTTGGACAAACTGGAGCCTGTGGCTACGGAAGTCCGGCTCATAAACAAGTCATTGGAGCTTCTGGATGAAAGGAGGTTCTGGGCTGGCATTGTCTTCACTGAAATAGCTCCCAACAGCGTAGAGCTCCCTCAGCATGTGAAATACAAGATACGCATGGACATTGATAATGTAGAAAGGACCAACAAGATCAAGGATGGGTGAGTCCTGACATGCTGCCTTATGAACAGTTTCTTACAGGAGATGCAGTGATGAGGATTTCTAACAGCAAGGTCTTGTTCTCTTGGTGCAGGTACTGGGATCCTGGTCCCCGTGCTGATCCCTTTGAGGACATGCGCTATGTATGGGGAGGCTTTGCCTACCTGCAGGATGTGGTGGAACAGGCCATCATCAGGGTACAGACAGGCACAGAGAAGAAGACAGGAGTTTATGTGCAGCAGATGCCCTATCCGTGTTACGTAGATGACATGTATGTATTCAGGCTGCTTCAAAAGCTCCCAGGAGAACTGTACCTTGGGAAGCATTGGCTCTTGTCCCTCCTCAGGCATGGTTTATGTCCTACTGTTAGTGGGGGAAGCAATCTCCTTAGTGTTCCTAATCCATGGAGTTAGGGCACCTGCATGGGGGGTTCATAACATGAGATGGTTTTCATAGTCCTTCCCAGGATAAGGTCTGCCAGCACAAGACTTTCACATAGAGTGTGTTTCTGAGATGTGTCCATGTCCCCAAACCTGATACAGGCAAAAATAGCACTGGGAAAAACAGAGGCCTAGACATTGTAGAGTGAAAAGAGGACTCTTGAGTCCAGTCTCCAGGAGTGGCAGGTGCAGCTCCAGCTCCTGCTCTGTGTTAGTGATGTGCTGTAGACCCATCAACCTCACCTCCTAGTGAGGCACTGATCCTGTCTTGTGGTCTGTACTTGGACTGATTTGAGCAGTGAAGCCTTAGCCTTCACCATGCTCTACTACCCCTTGAGTGGTACCTGATGTTGCACTGATGTATCTCATTCTATTCTCCTGGCTCCTTTCCTTTCTTCTCTCAGATTTCTACGTGTCATGAGCCGCTCCATGCCTCTCTTCATGACTCTAGCCTGGATCTACTCAGTGGCTGTGATAATTAAGGGTATTGTGTATGAGAAGGAAGCCCGGCTGAAGGAGACAATGAGGATTATGGGACTTGACAATGGCATCCTTTGGCTAAGCTGGTTCATTAGCAGCCTCATCCCTCTCCTGATGAGTGCAGGCCTGCTGGTGCTGATCCTTAAGGTGAGTTGACTGATTTGGTCTGTAGCAGCAGAATCTAGAGCTCTGAGAGCCTGCTAAGCAGTGGTCTGCACTGGCACACTGTTAGTGAATGTGGGTTGACCAACAGCTCTTTGAGTACAGAGTTTTGGAACAAAAGAAGGCTGAGAGGGGCTGTAGTAGATTCAGTGCTCTGTAAAAGGTGCCTGTGGTACTGCATCACTTCTGGGAAGGCTGTTGTGCAAAGTCCAGCAAGCCCAGCCTCCCCTGAGCAGCAGCTCTGCACACTTGCTTGTGCTACAGCCACTTTGGAGAGCCCTTTCAAAGCCTAATGCACCTCTTGTTTTCCTGCCAGATGGGGAATCTGCTGCCTTACAGTGACCCTAGTGTGGTGTTTGTTTTCCTCTCCATCTTCGGTGTTGTGACCATCCTCCAGTGTTTCCTCATCAGCACTGTGTTCTCCAGGGCCAACCTGGCAGCTGCCTGTGGGGGCATTGTCTATTTCACACTTTACCTGCCTTATGTGCTGTGTGTCGCCTGGCAGGACTACATCAGCTTCTCACTCAAGATCTTTGCGGTGAGTCTTGAGGGAGACTGTCCTGGCTGCTGAGTCTCCACCAGTAGGGCACTCAGCAGGTCTCTAGGTAGTCCCTGATAATGGAGGGTGGGGGCAGGTGGCAATGGAAAGGTAATTTTTCAGGATAAAAGGCTGTCAGGGCTGGACTTGGTGAAGAGGTTGACTGAGCCTGTTAGGAGCGGTTGGGGGGGAGGGCTTTGTTGGCTTTGGTAGTATTAAGTAATTCAGCCAGACTAAGCTGCCCAGACCTCTGTATTGCTGTGATGCTGCACCACCAGATACGCAGGCTGAAGGAACCAGCTTCCTTTACTCTGCACATCCCTTCTTACTAATATGGAAAGGGTGGCTGTTAGTGATCTCTTCCCTCACATGAAAGTCTAAAGAGCAAGGGGAAAAAAAATAGGGAAACAAACAGCTCTGGGTGGTGATCCAGCAGAGACTTCAGGTCTTGCATGCTTGTTGGACCCAAGACTGAGTCTGCCACTCCTTCTCTGCAAATACAGTCATGCTCCTTGGACGTTTGACTTTTCCTGTAAGCCTTTTGGAACGTGTCTCTCAGCTTTGTGCTAGAGCTGAGCTGCCCAGCTGGAGAGTATTTGTGAAAAACTGAATGCATGTTCATGCCTCCCATTTGCAGAGCCTGCTGTCTCCAGTAGCCTTTGGCTTTGGTTGTGAGTACTTTGCACTGTTTGAGGAGCAGGGAGTCGGTGTTCAGTGGGACAACTTCTTTGAGAGCCCATTGGAAGAAGATGGCTTTAGCATCACCACATCTGCTGTCATGATGTTATTCGACACCTTCCTGTATGGGGTCATGACCTGGTACATTGAGTCTGTCTTCCCAGGTGAGCTCTGATCATGTCTTCACACTTTTAAATGGACGCTTTCACCCTACTCTGTGGCAATGGCTGAGCTAGTCCTAGAGGCTTTGCTGCACTTCAGCTGCTCCCTTTTCTGAACTGCTAAGCCTACACACCCTGCAAGGGAGGAGTTGAGAGCATCAGTACCACATGTGGCTGCTTAGCACCTTCCCACACATGGCTTTTAACCCTCAAGTGAAGGTTGTGGAAAGAGATGTCTCTTACCTCCAAAGTCTGGCAGTGTCTTCAGCATGAAAGGTCCCTTCTTAGTCCTGTCTAACTTAGAGGCTTGCTGGGGGTGGAGTGTTTCCCTTCTTATCCTGAAGGCTTATATGAGAAAAGGAACACAGGCAGTCATGCTCATGTAATGCTTGTCTCTTTAGGCCAGTATGGGATTCCCAGGCCCTGGTACTTCCCTTTCACAAAATCCTATTGGTTTGGTGAGGAACCACAGAACAGGCAGCACCTTCATCCTGATCAGAAGGGACCTTCAGAAGGTAAGTGCTGGACACAGAGCCTTTCTGCAGAGAAATGTTACAGTCTGCTTTTTTGAAAGGAGAATCCAAGGGCAGCAGGACTGACATAGCTAAGGTGAAATTGGTTATCCCATTTTGTATCACAGTTTGAGTATGCTTATCAGGTGGGTGTATTCAGATAAACCCAAGGTACTTGGCCAACTTGAGTGCAGGCAGGTACTCCAGCCTTATGCAGTTGGGACTTCCTCCAGTTTTTGCCCACTCTGGGTACACTGGAGATCTCAACCTGATCATCCCAGATGAGCCCAATAGGGACAAAAGAGCTGAAGGACAATTTCTGTGCAAGTTTCCTTTCTCTGAGGAAGAAATGTGGTCAGTTTTTCATATAGCTTATTTCTCCTTAGATCTCCACAGACTTGGGGGAATATGATGTTTTTTAGAAGTCCTTAGTTGCTGTTAAAACCTATCATATATCTCTTTACTTTGCTCTGTTTTCTTCTAGTCTGCAAGGAGGAAGAGCCTACACATCTGAGCCTTGGTGTTTCCATCCAGAATTTGGTCAAGGTTTATCGTGATGGAAAGAAAGTTGCTGTAGATGGTCTTACACTGAACTTCTATGAAGGACAAATCACCTCCTTTCTGGGACATAACGGAGCAGGGAAAACCACTACCATGTGAGAGCAAAATAATGCTTTAAAATAGTAGGAGGAGTGGAGTGACTCTGAAGACTGTGGTTTCCATCAATATGGTACACATAGCTGTACAGCTGCAATGTGCCAGCTGGTGCAAATAAGGGTGCTCTTCTGGTTTCAGTGGAGTTCTGCTGATTTACCCTTGTTGTGCAGCTATCTCAGACCATGCACAGATACAGAGGACTGAAATAGATTGAGATTGTGCCAAATGAATCTACTGGGAGCAGTTTTTAGTAAAACCATTTGTGATT